ATATGGGTCAAATTATACTGGGCTGTACGGTTATACAGGAGAGGAGAGAAACTACTGAGACGTAGGTCATGCATTTTCATCGTTTTTTTACAAACAACGAAATGTTGCCAGTTTTATTAGCTGCCACTTGCTTGTCATTGAATTAATTTCCGAAAAGTCAAAAATATTAACATTATACAGGGTGGGGCATTAATGCGTCGGAGCTCCATTGCTCGAGTTCTATGATAGCTAGAAACTTGATTCTAAAACGAATGTGGATGAGACAACAAGGTCCATAACTAGAAATTATTGCCGCATATACAGGGGTTACCGGAAAAAATCTGGAGGATCAGGATCACTTTTTATAAATGGAATGCCCTATATATATTAGCACATTTTTTGAAGCATACCTGTGACCTCCATCCACTCTCATAATGTTTTTTTTGAAAGCATTTATTTATAATTTATAATAATAATAATAACATACATAATGCTATTGATAATGATAATCATATAATAAAGAAAACGTGCGGTAAAAATTCATAGTATCTTATTACCTGATATATAAATATATATGTATCTAGATATATTAATTAGCATTTTGTAAATATATATGTATATAGGTATAGTAATTTAGCATTTTGGCCAAACACTATTTTTTGAGTGTGATTTTATATGTACCCCAACTAACAATATTCTTTATAGTCTCAGGTACCTCATTGTAGGCTGTTATCGCTCTATCTATAGGATTATTGAGTACTTTATTAGTTCTTGGCTTCTGGATATTTAGTTGATGTTTATTCCTTGTGTCATGTGAGTGTATTTGTTTTCTATAGCTGAGTTCAGAATTAGTTTTCAGTTGGCTATGTACCAGTTTATATATATATTTACATTGTTCCAGCTTGATAATCATATCTAATTTATCTAATTTTGTATCTAGGTATACAGTATCCGTCGACATACGATAGTTCAAGTTGAACAAGATCTTTACCACCCTATTTTGAAGTATTTGGATTTTATAAAAAGTTGTTATTCCACAGGTACCCCAATTAGTTATCATATATCTGAATATGGCTAGGAAATAAGAGTTGAATATACAATATTTAGCTTTGTTATCTATATACAGTGTGACCCACTTCTAATGGAACCACACCTGTATCTTACGTAATCGTTGGGTAAGGATCCTGAAATTTGCTGGAGCGAGAGATAAACCAAAAATGCACTCTATGACCAAGTGGGGTCATCTTCAGTGATATACACTGCTCTACAATAGCCATGAAACTACCCCAATTTCCGGAAAATGATATTAGGAGTCAAAATAGGTCGAAAATCACTTCAGATTTGGAATCAGGACGCCCAATTTACTAACTATTCAAATTTTTCCTGGAAAATTTTCAGTTCGGAAAAATGAAATTTTGTCGCATTTTTCATGGAAGGACCCCCGTATCTCACGTAATTGACTTTATCTTTGGACTTTCTCTTCCTCCGGCAAATTTCAGAACCCTACCTCAATATCTATGGTAAGACCTAAATACTTAGTATATTTCACATGCTCTATGTAGTTTCATTTAGTTTTTTAGTTTTACAATTATTTCATTCATGACCATGTTCTTTTGTTTAAAAATCATATAGACACATTTTGACTCATTGATCTTCAACTTATTGTGGAGTAGCCACTCCTCATACACTATGAGATCTTCATTTACTTTTTTTTCCAATTTTTCTAATGATGTATCACTATAGGCCAGTACGATGTCATCTGCAAACGTGTAGTACCTAGCTTTCAATGAAGCTTTTTGTAGGCTCATAACATGTAATATGTATAGGAGCGGTCCCATTACTGATCCTTGTGGAACGCCCGTTTTTTTTACAATTGACTTATTGTATCATCAATAGAAACGAATTGCTTTCTGTTGGTCAAGTATGATTTGATCAGATTATTTATATTGCCTCTTATACCCATTTGTTCCAGTTTGTATAGCAAATGTTCATGGTCTACTACATTAAATGCTTTTCTAAGATCAATGAAGACTGTAGTGATGTATTGTTTTTCATCAAGTTTTTTATTAACCCCAGTTATTGCTATTAATTCCAGTATGCCTGCTGATATTTGTTTTCAAAGGATTCAAAATTATTCAAAAACTTCGAAGTCACTTGGACTATCGCTTTAATGAAGTCATAATCGAAAGTTATCTCCGAGGAGTTATCTCACTTATAATGTACGCCAATGTTGACTTTTTCGAATGGACATAACTTTGTCACTTCACCCTTTATATTTCAGTAGAAATGCATTCATATAGTAATTCTCAATGATTGCAATCCAAGAGTCTGTTATTACAATACGTATATCTTTCTCGGCGAAGGACAAGTTTGTTTTTGTTTTGATATGGAAATGAGATGAGCAACTTCCTTACCCCCACCCTATCTTATAATTTTCGACGAGGAATATTCTGGATTCTGGATGTAGACTCGGATTGAGAGATTTGCGCTTGGGATTGAGAGATTTTTGCTTGGGATTGAGATTGCCACAATATTTTCAGGATTGAAAGGATTTGAAGAAAGATTTACAGATTTCTGATATTCGACCTTGAGATTGGAAAGATTGTGACAGTACTTCCAAGATTTCTCGAATTTGTGGAAAGATTGACGGATTCAAAGATATATTTAGGGATTCGAACAGATTTGTAGATTTCCAAGATTGGAGCATGGATTGGTGAGATTTTCAAGGTTCTAGGCGGATTTGAAGGAAAATGTTCACGAGATTGTCGGATTTATGTATTCTAACCTTTATGGTCCTCAATCAAGCTGAAATTCAAGAAATCATTCATTCATAATGTTCAACAATAATTAAGGCTTTCACAGTCAGTTCAACACTATTTTTTACACATATTACTTATTTCAGAACAATATTTTTTGACGTTTGTAGAAAATTGAAATAGCAGTCTCAAATGCGTTCCGACATGCAACATACGATCACCTCCGTATGCAAGTGTTTAGCCCATTGCGTTCGAAAACGATGTCGTGACTTCTCCTTTCGTTGATTACGATTTTCTGGCAAACGGTTAGTTACATGAAAAAATGCAAGAGACCGAATTCTCACATTTTTTATGGATCACAAGATCATCAAAGTCAGAGTTTCTATCTTCAAACATGAAATTTGAGCCAATAAAAGTGTGGATCCCCCTCCAAATCCTTCAAAACTGGGTTTAACATCATTTGTGGAGCAAGAAGAAAATGAAGTGAAAGACAGGGGCATCTCAATATTCAGAAGATTCGGTTTGTTATTCTAGTCACAATGTTAGATAATCTTTTGTTTACCTAACTTACTGTAGATGTAGCTCGGATGGGGTGTATTGTGGGACACATGTTTAAATGAAGAAAAAGTCTTATTTGGATCCCAACAATATGTCCTTGAAATATTTACATCGAATTTTGAATCACCTTGTATAAGAAATATTTATCCTGCTGACATAATATTGAAAATGAAATTCTCCTCAAATTAATCAAAGATATGCTGAATATGTCAATTTGACTGAAGAAACTATTATAATTTCCATGCAGTCCGCTAATGGGAGAATTATTATCATAGTTTGTGGTGAAGGAAGGTGCATAAAACAGGAAATGGGAACGAGATGAAGAGGATCTGACTCGCAAGTCCATTCTCCAAAATATTCCACTACTATCAATCTTATTGTTGAATAAATTATACAGAAATATCAGGACTACAATCAATTTCGTCGAAGTTAATTCACACATATTATAGTGATTCAGTCTGCGTTCAGCAAAAATTGAAGATCTCTATTATATCTGTAATTCAAAACATTTATAATTTTTTTCTTAATTCTTTCCATTTTGTCTAAATATTTGAAGTAGAACTGATTATTTGTTATCATTATGTTCGATTTTACAACTACTATCTACTTGTATCTTGACTAGGCTGATGAGTGTTATGCATTTTACTTATGTACCACCTTTTATGCTGCAATAAATCATATAATATCATATCCCATAGCACAGAGCCATATTCAGGCATTCAACTGCTTCCAGGAAATCATTATCTTATTCTGAGAGCAAAGAATTCTAACTCCTTATGTACTTTTCATTTTATTAGTAATATCAATTTTTCTGATTCGTATATTAATTTGTTATGTTTACTCACCTTGGATGATTTGTACTATACACTGATTGGATTTCATCATGTAGATGTATGAATAATTATATTTTTTCTGTGACGGTTAAAAATCTTTGACATTTCATCTCTGTTGACAGGTTATGAAATGTCACATTACATAAATTACTTTTTTCCCACGGTATAAAAATGACAACTTTTTTCATACACTGTTGATGGCTTTGTGCTAGTTCCGAAAAATTTGCCAATAACACCGCCTCCGAGAAACAACTGCAAGTCATTTCATCTTCCATTCCACTTATTCGTGGTTCCCTAGATAACTTAACAACCACTAAGTTCGCAATTTCAGAAACCAAATCATAGAATGAGACTGACAGATATTCGATTACTTCAAAGAATTATGAAGATGCCTGCAACATAGGTGTAATTCTTTTGAAAAAAAAAACGTCAAATTTCACGTCGATAATTTTCTGATTTCAATATAATGTAATCTCCTCAATATTGAATCTTCCCTGTCAAAGACAAAAATAGTGTATTATACACTGGAAGAATATTAGATTTTAGCTCATGGTGTTTTGTCTCCCGCGGCTACGCATCGAGTTGAAATCTACAACTTTTTCCATTGTATAATGAATAACTATTCCTCGCGGAGGGAGAGACAAAAAACCGTGAGCTGAAATCTATTTTTTTTTTCTCATGTATAATATTATTTTGTATAACTGGTACTTGTTTAAGTAGAGAAGATGTAGCAGGACTTTCCCGAGGACCTACTGCTACTGAATCAGTTATGAAAACTAAAATGAGCCTATTTTTAGAATAAGAAGACTAGGCTTGATTATTTTAACCGCTTAAGAACTGAATTTTGGTATTACTTCTAGTTTTCTATACTCACATAAATCTCTGTAGATTACATTGAAGGGAACATGAGGCAGAACTTCTTTAACTTGCACAGTCATCCTCTGTATTTCAGGATTGAATGCCCTTGATGTATTGCGACCCTGGGCTCTCACTTGATCTTCGGCTAATTTCCGTTTCTCCCACTCTGCTAAGTCGGTAGAAGTATAATTAGTTGGCTCAATCTGAAAAAAATAACCTCATTCAAATTGTTGAAAAAAATATCACAACTGTAATTTCAATGAAATGGAAAAAACATAATATATTCATAAAATGTACATACAAAAAACATAATATATTCTGATCAAACGGAGAAATAAAGTGCCCTCCCCCCTCTTATCTTTGGAACGATTATACATTAACAAGTGAAAATCGGAAACTGAATATCAAAGGTTGTAAACTTCCCTAATAGTGATGATAGATGACGAAATCTTCAAAGATGACGTCACGAGGCCATTGTGACCAATAATTTTAAATGGAACCCTACGGCAAGTGACACCTCTTTTGAGAGGTATCGAAAACACCTATGCATTATACTAATAATTCTGTTTGTGTTTATGTATGTATGTATATGAAATTCGAAATTCAAGCTCCGCTTCTGAATAGTTGTCAAATAATCTGACGTTTTTCCTACTCTCACTGATTCAACGTTTTTGTAATTGTCCAAGTTTTTGAATTCGTGTAGGGGAGGGGGATTTTTGACAAGCACTGTATAGGAAAAGAAGACAACAACCAGAGAAAAAATCATGTTGGATGATAGTTCTATTATGATGGTATATTCGTAAGGAATATGTTTAGTCAAAAGTCACAAGGGTATTGAAATCCATACAGAATGCAACTGTAGTCTAATAATTTGGAAGGAAAACATCCGTGATTATACAAAAGCAGTTAATTGTATCAGTGTTGTCCGGTTCGATAAACGTTCCATTGAAAGATAGAAATCTGGAAATATTTAATGATTTACTTTCAAAATTTTGAGAATTTTCGTCGACGGGAAATTCAGTCACTCCTATGACAACTGTAAATTTTAATATACGTTTTTTGAACGGAAGTGAGTCAAAAAAATTATGAGATTTGTTTGGTAAAGATATTAATCGTGGAAGCTTTACAGCTTTGTCTTGTCTACAGAGCACAATAACATTGAGTGTGAAGAAATTAAACAAAAACTTTCAGACAGATAATTGACTAGTGCATATATGACAGAATGGTATTTCTTTGAGAAGTGAATCCTGGCAATATACCATGCTCTTGTACCATAAGATAGCGAGGTCATGTGGGTCCCGATAAAAATTGCGCCAAAATCAATATTTGTTAACAAAAATGTCAAAATTTGCAAAAAAAGGTTATGTAACCATTGCTAGAAGTGTTAGCAATGCCCATCCTAAACAAGGTTTATTACAACCCACTCACAAACACTTTATGGTGTTGAACAAGCAATGCCTTAAATGACCTTTGCTACTCTTTGTAATAGGTCGGGTGTAATGGTTTGAAATGCGTTAAAGATTCTTTGCTGCTTATTTTCTGGTATGTGCTAAGAGGTTTTTGATGAACGATATCCTTAACATAGCCCCACAATAAGAAATCCAATATGAATTAGTCAGGTGATCTTGGCCCTCCTCTTCCAATCCAGCGATCTGGAAAGGTTGTGTTGAGATGGTCCCTGACCTGTAATGAATAATGTGCTGGGGCCTCTATCATGTTGTAGCCACATTGCATTCCTCACAGCAATTGGTAGATTTTCACATAAGTTTGGCAATTGGTTTTGCAAAAAATCCAGATACATAGAGCAATTCAAATTCCAGTCGAAAAAGTAGGGACCAATAACATGTTCACCAATAATTCCTCCCCACACATTAATTGTCCATTTGTGTTGTCTATCAATCTGCCTAAAAACCCTTGGATTGTGATCGAAGTAATAATGAAAGTTGTGATGATTCACAAATCCATTCTTATGAAAGGCGGCCTCACCAGAAAACAAAAGCTTATCAAAAAAAAGTCGAAATTTACTCCAATTTCACCTTGCGCCCAGTTGCAGAATTCGACACGTTTTTCAAAATCATGTTCATAGTTCTTGATGAAACTGAATATGATAGGCATGGAAACGGTTGTCTTTCAAAATTAGTTGAACAGTTCTTTTGCTCACGTCCAGGGCATCTGCGATAGCTTGCTGGCTAATGGAAGGATTTTCCGTAACAGATAACAGCACATCCAATTGATTTTCTTCATTTTGAACCGGTCTATTTTTAACTGGTTTTGTATATTTTACATTTCCGGTTAGTACAAACCTATCCAATAAGTTCTGCAGGCTCCTTTTGTCTGGCTGACGTCGTTCCGGATAACGTTGTGCATAAACTCGACTTGCCAAAAAAGATTTTTTCCTACATTCTCTTAATATTAAAATTATATCTACGAGCTCTTCTTGGTTGTACTCCATGACAAAAACAATATTTCGTTGAAAACAGCTCAAAAAATTGATAATAATGAGCTAACAATGATTCGAATTTGAATTGATCCAGCCCAAATAGACTCCTGACACTTCATTAGAGTTAAATGTCAATAATTCACTTCTCAAAGCCACCTTCGTTTTTTATTCATGACACAGAATAGTTGATGAAACAAGTTTTCGGCAAATAATTTCTGATACGATGAGAATTTCGATGGGGTTGTAATTAGGAAAAAAAGTTCACGCATCGAATGACATGAAAATATACAGGGCTCCAATTTGAAATGAGAAAAATATAGTGGTTTGAAATTTGAACTCGGTTAGCGATCCTCTAAGGCCTTATTCGATATGAATCTCTTATGATTCTATTGAGCAGGCACTCTCTTTTTTGTCATTAATGTTTTTGACCAGTGGTGAAAAATAGAATTTTTTTGTTATATTTTGTACGTCCATATCACTGAACCGATTTTGATTAACTTCCAGGAGTATGATACAATCGAAGTCTACAAAATATCAAAATCCTGACTCAACTGATAAGTGAGTTATAGAAGACGCTAACTATTTTGGTTCTCAACAGCCTGTTACATTGACCACTTGATGTGAATGTATCACCCGAGATATTATCCAGGATTTTTCATGGTTTTGTTTTTGACTTTTCATTTACCAATGTAAAGTGGTCTATTGGATGAATGAATATATTCTATTCTATAATATAATAATCAGTAAATAGGTATCATGAAGTTAGTAAAACTAATAGCGTTTTCCACTCGTCGATTTACAGAGAGCACTAGCATAGAGCAAGTACAAGTGGCACTGGCTCGGTTCTTTCATAAAGTACGGTTTCAACACAGAGCAGTGGAATAGAAATAGAGAGTTGTTATCAAAAAGTTGATTAATTGAAAGTACATTTGGTTCCGTTGGCCCACATGAAATGGATTCATCTACCTCTTATTGTGGTCTCCCTGTGAACACTGCCAGAAACAAGCCAGAAACAGTCTTATATATCAATGTTCATTGTCAATGATGTTCAATTGAATCATTCGACAATAGTCGTGTAGCATTGAAGTGTCGATCATGAAGTTCGTATTTTTCATCATTACTGAATCAACAATCAAATATGTTTGATACCTGCACATCTGAATAGCTTCCTTCAACTTGTAGGTAATTTTGAATCTTCGGTAAACGCTGTTTTGTAACGTAAGTAAGTACTTCTATATCTCAATCATCATTTCTTCATCATCGCTTGTATCCGAAATATCTATGATTCCGGAAATAAATTGTAATAATAGTAATAAACTTCAATGGCTCGTGACTCGAATATTTGAGGTTATGTGTATCGCACAGTCGTACAAACACAGTTCTGAAAACTCGAACTTGAAAGCCAGTGGAAATCATTTCTCGACAAAATTTCACTCATGAAATTCTCAGTGGACCACGCAAAAGGCACTCGTGTCGAAAAAGTTCGAGCTAGTGCGATGAGTGGAAAACGCTATGAGTTCTGAGATCGATTAGAAATACAGGTTTCGATCGATAAATCAGTCATCAGCGCCAAGCAACATATGCCTCAAGATTTGCTGATTAGTCTTGATGAACGATGCATTATGCTCAATAATATTTTTCATCCGTTATACATTTCTTATTTGTGCCAGTTTCAAGTTTCCAGAAATGATATCTCTTGCTTGAGATTTTTACGTTTATTCATTTTACCAGGTGACTTACCTCAATATGTCACTGCGTTTAAAAATTTCTCTATTAGAGCGCCTAAAAGAAAAATTCAATCGATTGTCGGTGACACCTTGTTTTGAAAAATGTTCGAAGAGAAATATGGATAGGTATATCGAAAAAGTATCAAATTTTTACTTAGCTTTTGATGTTTCGGAAATGAATATGTTCTTGTTTTCAACATAAAAAAATTGAAAATAATCTTCTTCTCGAATTTGATGAAAATGGTGAATTCAAGAAAAATTAATGAAAACATCCTTCAATTCATTTGTTTGCATCAACATATGTCACTGAGAGGTGTCAATATTGAAATGAGAAGACAATTCGAGAAGAAGAATATTTTCCAATTTTTCAGTTTTGTAATGTGTAGGGGGCGAAAAAATATGAGTGGTCTTGATCTGGCCCTGGCGATACTCCATTGAGGAGCATATTGCTTAGCGAATCGTTTGAATTACGTCAAAAATATGAGTTTCCTGGAATCAGATTTTAAAGGCCCATTGGAAAATGTATGAGAAAATGTTTGTTCCTTTTGGAATATCAGAAGAACTTGGAATGTGTATGGTCTATTGTAGCCGTTAGAAATCGTATGAAGTTTTTATTCCAACCTCAAGTTGGAAAACTAATAATGCATGGCCAACACAAATCACCTAGTTCATGATAATTACAAGAAAGAAAATTCATATGGTCATAGAAATTGAAAATTCTGCTTATTCCTCATTTCATATGTTCAGGGAAATTCAATCAATATTTAATACGATTCCAATAGCTGCTATGTAAAATAACTAATAAATGTCATTACCTTCAAGGCATTAGCAATTTGACGCCGAACCACATCTGCAAACTCCTCATCAGTTTGATCATGTTTCTCGATGGGAGGCAAAAACATCAGCTTGTAGTTAGTGGTAGGACAGAACATGAAATATAAAATATCACTCAAGTAGGAAGATCCTATTGAAGTTACTGATATATCCAGATATGGTCTCTCGATGCTAATACACACTGGCTGGATTTTTGATGTAAACTCAAAAGGGTAAATTTTGAACTTAAGCAAACCCTTTCCATTAGTAGGCCTTCCCTCAGGTGCGAAGTAAAGTGGAGTTTGATTTTCCACTATGAACTTGTTCACATTGCTCTTGAATTTATCTAAATTTCCAATATTCGTGAAACAATATGAGCTCAATCCCAAAACTCTTTCAAGGGTTGTTCGTGCACTAGGCTGAAATAAAAAGATATTATTAAGATAAATCTACCAACAATAATAAGAGCAGGAATACGATTTTTTGGGCATGTGTTATTAGAAATTAGTTATTGTAACTAGCGAAAATCGATTTCTCAGGTTGACAACAGGATAAATAATTGTGCGTTTTTGAGCTAGTTATGGAAGAAACTACTGAAATCGGGATTTATTGATGTACGGTAACTACAATTGCTAAGGTGAGAGAGATCTTTATTGAACCAATGAAAAATGTTAACATTCTTATGTAGGTCCTTCCTCTAAACAATACATTACTTTTTTTAATATATATAAATCATTGTTGAGCTATTCAACTTACAACAGTCAGTCGGCACTGTCATATACTTTACACAAGAAAATGAACACATACTTGTTTAAAATAAAACTACAGTATTACCACAGGTATTACAGTCAAGATTCCATTAGAGTATCCCAGTATTGGAGACCTTTTTGTACATGTTTGTTTACATGTATTCAATTTGGTTCAGTTTACTGAAGTTCAAGGAAATTTTTCAACATTTTCTTGAATCATTATTGAAGAACATTTTACATGGGGAGGGAGCTCATTGTACAAAGTGACACCCTTGACAAATATTGAGTTTTGACCAAGGGTTGTAGAGAACCTCATTGTTTCCAAATCATTGTTAAGTCTTGTATTATGGTGATGAATATTAGAATATATTAGAATTGATGCTTTGGTATATATAGAGACATACTTGGTATTTGTAAATAGCATTTAGGGGCATAATGTTATAATTTTTAATAGAGATCATTTGTGTGATTTCTTCTGTGCAATCCATAAATATTTTTTATTGCTCTATTTTGTATAATCTCAATTCGCCTGATCACCTTTTTGAAGGAGGGGTACCATAGCAGAGTAAGATATTTGTATGTGACAATATATCAATGAATAAATAGTATAGTCAAAAGATGAATTGGCATTTGGCAGATGGAAAGAGAAATAAAAATACTCGTTTAAGAGTTGAGAACTAGCGAGCTAATTACTTTGACATAGTTGACTTTTCAATAGGCAAACTTTGATAAAGAAGATTTCTAGATCCGCCAAAATATTTCAACCATCTAATAAAACTGCAGAAGTTATTTCACTTTTTCAAGAATACCTCGGATAGGTCGATTGTATATTCTCAGGACGCATTCTTTGAGACATCAAAGATTCACATGGAGAAACGCTCGATTTGGCTCAAAGAAAGCGTATTGAGAAAACAAACGAAGCATTTTCCAAAAAGTGGATGATGAACGATTTATTGAGTTTATGCATTACTGTACTAGCACTGTATATCGCGTCATAGCGAATTGCAAAACATGTAAACATTCGGCAACCGTCCGGAAAGTAGCATTTTTCCGGCCTAGTCCGGGAAGTACGTACTAGGAAAGTATCACATCGTTGTTGTCACTGTCACTATAAAAATCTTGGTAGATATGGTTTTGATAAATGCAGATGATAACTACCATAGCAGCGAAATATCGGCTGACAGCTATTTGACATGAAATTAGTTGACATTTTGATTTTTGAAAGTTTGGTTGCAATTATCGCAATAACCTATCGAAAGCAGCTGCGATGATGAGTTTGAAAATGTCCATACGTAATTTCCAATGTAACAGTTAGTAGGTTTAGGTATTCTGTTCAAATTTCAGTATTTGATACAAACGAGTATTGATAAAGAAGAAATTGTATTCTACAAAGAAATATAATATGGAAATGTGTCTCATTGCTTTGTTATTCTACATGGTTGCCGAAAAAATAGTGTACGAAACACGTCCAAAAACAGTATTTTCCGGACTTGTTACGTAAATTACTATTCTTTCGAAGTGAAACTGAACGAGATAAATCAGAATTTCTGTATCATCGAACCAGTTGTCATATTGTAGACGAAAGAAGAGGATCAGATGCCCATTCATTGCGCCAAGGAGATAAATTCTATGATTAACTACCTCAATTTACTACTAATGAATTACATTCAGGAACATGAATAATGAGAAAAGTGTTGAGAAGTGTGAATAATATACAGGGTGTCCGCTAAAAGGAGGTCAATCCATTAACCATATATTCCTTGAACGAAAACAATATGAGTTTCTGAATACCATTTTTCATTGTAGCCCTTCATATTCGATATACAGGGTGTCAAAGTTGGGAGTTAAAAACTGTTTTATTTTTAATTACTCGCGTATTTAATAAGATATTAATCTCAAAATTGGTACATTACTTCAGCACAAAGAGTTACATCGTGTGAGGAAAACAAAACAGAAAATAACTGTCAAATATTTAAAATACTGAGGGTCAAGTACACACTTACCCCCATTTTTTTGTACGTGCGCTAATGACTTCCTATCTATTTTTCTTCAAGTGTTCAATCATTTTTGAGTAATTTTTGTCTCTTGTTAATTTTAGATGAAATTATTTGTTTTTAAGGTAATTCGAAAAGTACTGGTTATTGTTTGATGCCTATTCGGCTTACGGTAATCTCAAAATGTTCACATAGTCCTATTTATTTCGTCGAAATTGGAAGAGGACGTAACTTTTTACGTACGAAAAGGTAAATATGGAAATACTGGGTGCTCAGAGCGGATGTATTAAAATAATTTTTACAAAAAAAAAATTGATAGAAATTCAACACGTCTAAAAAAAAGGTTGCTCGATATAACCTCCAATTTTTTGAATACACATGCGAACCCTTTTAATTATAATTAAAGAATTTCGGGAAAATAATGATTTTAGGAGGATGGGGGGGTCGATTAACGAGCCCACCGTTTTAAAGAATTAATAAATTGATTTTTTTCGAGGACAGCAAATTTTTTAAAAAATTCTTAAAATCGGTTTGAGCGGTTTTGGGGGTTGCGGAATTTTTTAAAAATATTTTCGAGCCCTCCTCCGTATGGTATGTCGTGAGCGAACGAACGGTAAATAAAATCGGAAAAAATTAAAAAATATATTTTCGGAAATTATGGGTGAAATTATGATATCCATGATTTTAATAGCTACTTGATGAAAGAAATAGCAGATCCGGATTGTCTGGGGATGTATGAGAGATTTTGTGTATAAACCACATATTTTTCATAGGCTAAGATTTTCTTTAATTAAAAGGGCTCGCATGTGTATTCAAAAAATTGGAGGTCATATCGAGCAATTCATTTAGACGTGTTGAATTTCTATCATTTTTTTTTTGTAAAAATTATTTTTATTCATTCGCTTTGAGCACCCGGTATTTCCATATTTACCTTCTCGTGCGTAAAAAGTTACGCCCTCTTCCAATTTCGACGAAATAAATAGGAGGAGGAGTATGTCAACATTATATTAAGATTACCGTAAGCCGCATATGCATCAAACAATAACCAGTACTTTTCGAATTATCTTAAAAACAAATAATTTCATCAACATTTTACAAGAGACAAAAAATACTCAAAAATGATCGAACACTTGAAGAAAAATAGATAGGAAGTCATTAGCGCACGTACACCCTGTATATCCAATATGAAGGGCTACAATGAAAAATGTTATTTAGAAAGTCATATTGTTTTTGTTCAAGGAATATATGGTTAATGGATTGACCTCCTTTTAGCGGACACTCTGTATAGGCGAATTGCAGTATATAATTTTACTGTTTCTTTGGTGTGGAAATGAACCACCTGAATACACTTCGTATTATTGTATTAATAACATAATTTAATGTCGTTCAAAATAATATATATGGAAACCCTATCAGCGAATATTCAGTACAGTTAAGAGATCGTTGAGGGTAGGAGCATAGAATATTTCTTCGGCAAATTCTCTTTGAGTGCCTATTTGAGTTTAACATTGTTGTGGGTTATGCTGTCTATATGGAAAATTATTTGATAGATAACCCATGATTATTTTTTAGGGTCCAATAAACTTCAATAGCAGGTATGTATATCCTTTCAGAGGTATAATTTTCACAATGATGTTTCAAGTAAAATAATAATCTTTTATACATTTCAGAGATAAATAACTTCCTCAAATATGTCTTGGCTCTGACTGCATTGGATATAGAAGAATTCTTATCTGTGAAACTTGAACAAAGTATGGGTATGTATGAAAATATTGAAAGGACCCCGCACATTTAGTACGTAAAATGGCTTTCGGCTAAATTCTCTGAAAATTTGATATGTTTAAGACATTATCGTCCTTATCACACAGTCCAATTTACAGATCGATCCTATGACCAGTTTTCGAGCTACAGGGTGTCAAACATTAGATTTTGGCTGTTTAGAATATTTTGCATCAATTTGAATGATGTGCTCTAAGTCGTGATTATTCTTCAGTAGGAATGAACTCTTCACGTCTAATATCTACCTCATGAATCCCTCTATTCGGTTAGCGGATAATATCACATACAGAGTATTGCATTCCATCATGACAAGGTAATATTCTTGGGAAAAGACAAATATTGAAAACATCAGAATTTTGATTTTTACTCAATCACTGAAAACTTGAAAACAAACGGCTAGAATCGGCCGATTATGTGACACAGTATGGGTCTTGATCATAAACATGAGGATTCATATGATTACCTCTGATACCATGTCCGGTTGGCCATATATAGGGTGATGACAATGCTTGATGTCATATTATGGTATCTGACAACTTGTCTCAATACGACCATCTCGCCAGAATGTGAGCCACAATGTGAAAAATATCTATCAGCAGCTTTTGACAATCATCAAAATACAAATTCTCTTGAGAATTCAAACATAGCGGACATGTCACAGTTTTACAACTTCTTTCTTGGAGATGTTCTGCTGGATTGAATGGAGCTGTGTCCTCACCGTCTGACCAGCTCAGGTTAGGTTAGGTTAGGTTATGTTAGGTTAGGTTATGTTAGGTTAGGTTACTAGAACATTCTGTAGATTTTAGTTTTCTCTCGCTTCACTAGCCAACTGTTCACATAAGCAATTTCACTTTTATGGTTATTTATATAATGCTCGATAATGACGATTTTTTCCCA